GAAAACTGACAGAGTGTGAGGAAAGGGGTGACATTGTTCAAAAAGAATGTACTCTTTACGTGATTTATGTAATTGTAACCCCTTTGTATATCACCTTTACAATAATAAAATTCCTTTAAGCCAGAAAAAAGTACTATTCACCAAGCTGTTATTAAAAGTCTTAAGCTCTTTTGCCTGTTCACTGTGTTAAAGCATGTAAAGCAGTGAAACACACAAAGATAAAAGAGTTGATAAAGCTCCATTTTTGGCTATGACTGGAAATAATAACAAAGGCAATCTAAGCAACCCTACTACTGAGGTAATAAAAACAGTCTTCTGACTATCAGAGTTCAAAACAAATCAACACTGACTACCAATGATGGCAATAGATAAAAATGAGAATACAGTGTAATAAAAGCAATGGCACCCAGCTAGGGCAGTATCCAGAGGAAAATTCATAGCTTCAAATTCATTTGTCAAAAAATAACATTGTGAACCATATTAATAAATACTTTAATTCCAGAAGCCAGAAAAAAGAATAAAATAAACATAAGGAAAATCTAAGAGAGGAATTTTAACTCCTTTAGAGATTAAAGAAATTAAAAAATAGAGATTAAAGATTTTTTTTTAAAAAAGTAGACCTCATTAGAAAAGCTAGAATCTGGCTCTTCAAATATAAACAAAGTAATAATATGGATATGATGTTGTATCTAGAAAACCCATGGAAATCAACATAAAACTCCTAGAATTCATTACTAAAGTCAGAAAGATAAGGTGAACAAATAAAAGTGAATAACTTACCTGTACTCTAATAATAACCAATGAGAAAAATACATTGGAAATCATTCTTTTAACAATAATGAGAAATATTCTCAAACATCTAGGAATAATTAATAAAAGTATGTATAACCTGCACAAGAAAACTCTAAAACAGGAAGACTGAGACATTAATGAAGAGTTCATATACTATGAACTTAAGATTATAGAGTTATCAATTGTCCTCTATAACTATCAATTTAGTCTAATACCAATTCGACAAGATTTAAAAAGCCAAGACTAAATTTCATCTTGCAAAGTAAATGCACAAGAAAATCTAAATTTGGGGCTGGGAAGTTGGCTCAGTGGTAGAGCGCCTGCCTTGCATGCCTGAGGCCCTGGGTTCAATTCCTCAGCACCATATAAGCAAAAAGAAAAAAGCCGGAAGTGGCGTTGTGGCTCAAGTGGTAGAGCGCTAGCCTTGAGCTGAAGAGCTGAGGGACAGCGCCCAGGCCCAGAGTTCAGGCCCCCCAACTAGATAAAATAAAATAAAAAATAAATTAAAAAAAAAGAAAATCTAAATGTTAAAAAGCCCTCTCAGAGATTAAAACCTACTAAATGTTATACTAATTAAACTTAGCACAATCCTTTTTTTTTTTTAGGAGTGACCACTTCATGGAATAAATTGAGTTTAGGGTTCAGGATATTATATAGAAGCTACTTTAAAAAAGTAGAAGAAAGACATGTCATTTAAAATGTGGGGGTTTATTATTTAGGAAAAAATACACTAAACCCTTATTTTGTAACATATACATAAATTTCAGCTAGTTTAGGGTTTAAGACTTTAGGAACTGTAAAATCAGAACAACAAATAATTACAGTAGACTGCTCGTTTGGTTTTTAATTAGCAACAGAAGGCTTTTTTAAGCATTAAATCTGGATACTAAAAGCTCAAAGAAGTTTCTCTACCTAAAACTAAAAAAAAAATAATGTGTACTCCAAAACCTATCTTCAATAACTTAAAAGAAAGAGTATGGACCAAAGGAAACATTTTTTTTGCAACAGTTAGAAAATATGTAAATGAACAATGTATACAAATTTATAAATCTGTAAGAAAGACATACTCCAATAAAGGAATACTTAACAGAGAAGAAGAAATAATAACATGGCCACTAATCATTGGGAATGGTATTTGGTCTTACATTTAGGACAACATACATTAAACAAACAAAAAACAAATGCTATTTTTTTCTTATCAAAGAGGCAAAACACAAGAAGACTGATAACATCCATTATTGTCGAGGGCGGGAAAACAAAATAAATGCTGCCACTGGGTAAAGTCCTTCATCAGCCAAAACCTGGGGCTTCCAGCCCCGAGAATGGTCAACATAGCATGCAGAGGTCCAGGAGAGATAAATCCAGGAAGGAGTGTAAGGAAGGAACAGCAGAGATTTTTTCCCTTCATCTCTTCCAGGATTGCAATGGAATTTATACTAGATTTGGTCATAAGACATATTGTCAATAGGCTAGAAGCCTCTTATACCTAAACTAGGCTAAAACTAGTAGGGTGTGAGACATCTACACCAATAGTAAACCTGTTACTGAAGACAAACCCAAACAAGCCCTCTAAGCTTGCTTGCTCTTAGTTGACTTAAAAAATCAGTAGTTTTGGAGATCACATAGCTGAACAATACTGTATTGGCTTCCTGCTAGCTTGCTATAGATTATACCTCTGAGGCGTGGGTTATGATCACAGTTGCCTAGGTTACTTTGCAGAAACTTGAAGCCCATTTTTTGCTAAAAAAAAAAAAAAAAAGACTGATTCTTGGTGGAAATAGTGGTTTGTGCCTATCATTGTAGCACAGAGGATGTGTGTGGGACAGAAGGATTGTGAGTTTGAGGCCAGCCTGGGCCAGGCCAGTCTGCACTAAAGTGAGCCTGAATAGTCTCTAGACTAAAAAGCAAACCAAAGAAACGAAACCCCATCACTCCTTCATTAAAGCCTACAGATAGGTTAATGGATGGCTAAAGGGAGACACAAGGCTTGGTATCCAGACTTCTCTTTGCTCCTTCTGCCTGTGGATGACTCTGTATTCTTTCCCTTCCATAAGGTGTATCCACATGCACATCTTGGAGAGGGCACAGAATCAGGGGAAAACGGTGAGAAAGTGCAGCAGTGGAGCTCATAGCCACACAGGCCATCAAGGAAGGCAAACTCTGCAATCTGTGGGTGGAGAGAGAAGGGAAGGAATTAGTGAGAATGAGAGAGCAGATAACACCTGTAATAGAAAATGTACTTATTACCTGATGTATGTAAAGGTAACCCCGCTGTCTAGCACCTTTAAGACCACAGAAAAGTAATTTAGAAAACCAAAGACATATTGGTCATGTTGGAAACGTTGGTTGATCAAGAGTACCATACAGGGTTAACTTGGCCTTATTGCCTGTTTAGAACAGATACTGTTCCTTCTACCCTGTCCCTGTGCTTGCTTGCTCCCCGGCTTAAGCACCGAAAGTCCCTTTGCCTCCATCACGAGGCCCAAACCAAACCACAAGGCCAGGATGTTTATGGAAGGAGATGTGGTCAACAGCAGGAGGCACTCAGGGGTTCCTCCCTCACGCAAGTCTTTTAGCACTATCATAAACATCAAACCATAAGGTTAAGACATTTATGCAAGGTGATAAGACCAGCCGTAGAAGTAACTCAGCAATTCCTGGGTCAGGCCATCTTAACACTTTGAGGTCAGTTAAAGTAAGACAACTTTCAAGGTCCTAAGGGAAATTCGCATTCTAGAGAATGGGGAAGAGAGAGGAAAGGATGGGCTACAGATGAATGGGTCAGACAGTCAGCTGTCTTCTCCTGAAGACAGATTGTATCTCACTAGGATTAACATGAACTGGGCCGGCTACAGTGTGGATGCCTGGATGGAGGCCAGTGTGGAGGTGGAGGTAAGATGTGGCCATGGCAGAGGTGGTCTACCTGAGCCCTTGCACGGCTCTGCCTGCTGATCCACACCTCACAAAGTACCCCAGTACTCACAAGCACTCTGAGAGTACTCCAGTGACCTGGTCAGGGTGACCTTCGTAGCACACATTGACTTGGGAGAATCCCACACGTACACACGTACTACCCTCTGATGCTACTTAGTCTGCAATCTTCCAACTTGACCTTTCTGGGTTTCTAGAGCTCTATCGTCACATTCCAAGTTATTACCCTCTTTTCCTTTTTTTATGGGGAAAGGGTGTTGGGGTTCTTCCACCATGGCTCTGGGGGCTCCTGGCTCAGTTCTTGTGAGGTCAGGAGTTGAGAAAGGGAAGACTCTATCTTGAAGCCTGGAGAAAGAAGCAGCTGCCTGGCTGCGTTTTCCCTGCCTTGCTTATTCTGCATTTCTTTCTCTCTCTCTCTCTCTCTCTTTTGGTGAGCTGTTTTTGTTTAATGTAAGCAGAGCAAATCCATCCATAGCAAAATCAGAGAAAATAACTTGTTGATGTGTAAACCAGGATGTCACAAATAACCCTGTTTGTTTAATTATAGCAGGCTGAGTGCTGTGAGCAGGGGAGGGAGTGGGGGTAGTGGTAGGAGGGGAACTCAGGATACGCGCATCCCAGAGGCCTGCGCGAGGGACCTTGAGGAAAATGTGAGTGCCTAGAGTCACGTGGATAAACTAGGGCACATATGGTGCATGAGTCAAGCTCAACTGAGTGGGTAGACAGCTTTTGGTGCTAATGGGAGCTTGATGTAGCTGCTAGACAGAAAAATTAAATCGTAGGTGAAAGGATTAAAAAAAAGGATACCTGGAAATAATAAAGCAATGAAGATAGAAGATTTTTGGTAGGTGCAAATGCTTGATGAAGACAACTAACTGCTCTTCTGCATCAGAGTGATGGTAGAGAGCAGAGAGCACTAAGAATGGTAAGAGGGTCTCCCATCTCACCCAACCTACCATAATCTCTCCTTTATTGTCTTAGTCCATTTTGTGTTGCTATGACAAGATACCCAAAGCTAAGAAACTTAAAAAAATAAGGAAGTTTATCTGTCTTATGATGCTGGTGGCTGGAGTGTACAAATAGCACAGCACAGACATTGTCACGAGGGAAAAACAGGAAACATGCCCTCATGCAGGAGAGGACAAGCACATGGGATGGTCTCACTTGCTAACAACCTGCTCTCCCAAGAGTTAATTCAGTCCCACACAACCTGATCCCACCCCACAAGCAGTAATGTAACAATCCATCCCTGAGGATGGAATCCCTTCATCGCTTACCACTGTGCTCCACCTCTGAAGAGTTCTATGTCCTCCACGTACTCAGCTTGATAAGGACTACAGCCATCTGGAGTCCTAACCACCATGATTGCTTCAGAGCAACTGTGGTTGGTTTTGTTGCATAGCTTCCCAGCATTCTATAAATAGGCAAAACCATTAGGCTGCTATGTGGGGCTTTACAACTAGATCCTGGCTCCAGGGAGGGGCCTGACTCTTGGACATCAGCTTAAAATAAGCCAGGTACTTTCCAGCCAGGATGAACTCACTTTTGTCCAAATCCATAAATGCATTCCTCTCTCTGACCCAAATTGTGGGCATCCAACTGGTCCTGCTGCTCCCCAGGGGAGCATCCTTCTATCAGTGAGTCCCCTCAGCCCTTTACACTCTGCAGTCCTAGATCTGCCTGCCTTTCTCTTTCTTCTGTCTCACAGCACTGGAGGCTGGTTCTTGTATGTAGCAAGACTGAGTTATTCTAGACAGTACCTTAACATTTTCCAAGTGGACCAAGCTTTCAGCACAGGACTGCTTTGAGGGGTACAAACCACATCCACACCATTGAGGGAGAACACTAGAACTTTTGAATTCCAGAGGCCATGCAACATAGGATGTAAGAGCAGAGGATCTGAATTTAGATAGACATGGGCTAAAGCCTGGTTTCAGATTTTACATCACAGGAGGGGTAGGGTGAATATGTATGTTGGATCCTGAAAGCAAACGTGTCCTATGAAAGATAGTTGGACTAGGCCAGTGGCAGATCACTTACCTTGGAGGCTCTATTGTGAGCTCCACACCAGCAGGTAGAGGTTGGGCATGCTCAGATGAACCACCTCTACCCTGGTTACACGTCAGGCCGCCCAAACCCCTGTTTCCTGGCTTGCTCTACTCCGTGCTGCAGCCCAAAGAGGCTTCTCAAAGGCCACCAGTCCACATTACTCCTTTAGCTGGACAGAGTTTGTTTTCAGAAGAAGTCCCAACTCCTTCAAATGTTCTCTGACCCATTTAGCTCCACCTCCTCTGCAATTCAGGCTCGCCCAATGCCCGCCTCATTGCCATCACGAGTCTGCGGTAATAGGAACGTTCATGTTTTGTAATTATAGTACTTGGCATGAGCTCTCCCTTATGCCTTGAGCACTTTCTCTACACACCCTTTGCTTGAAGCTTCAGAGCCCAAACTTTGCTAACTTTCTGTCCTCCTTTGACAGAGTTCTCTCTGACCTGGCTGTGTCTTCATGGTCTTGTCTGTCTTCGCTGTCTATACACTATCTCCTTTGCTCCACATCTGTTCTCTACTCTGTCCTGTCCTGCTGATTGTTCACCTGCCTGACACATCAAAGCCACTCCATAGATGTTTGATGAATGAATGAACGAATAAATGACTCTCTTTCATGTTTAGCTTCTTCTTCAGGGAGACTGACTTTTTGCCGACATCTGGCTCAAAGCAAAGACCACACACAGGTAGCTCCAAACTGGAGACAACCCAAGAATCCATCGACAATAGGCCAGACAAATAAATTGTGGCATATTCACATGATAAAAACTATCATTAGCAGCCCAGTATGCTAATTATTTTCAATGAAAGGTCTTTGAAGGTCAGCAGATGCTAGCTTTACTCAAATATTCCCTGATTTGCATTGAGACTAGACCTGCCAGAGAGGACAACAACACAGCCCATCCCCACCCCAAAAATCTCATCATACGTCACGGGAAAAGAAGATCAAGGACTGAAACCACACTTAGATAGCTATTGCTACAAGACAATGTCTGTCGTTCTAACCACACTTAGATAGCTATTGCTACAAGACAATGTCTGCCGTTCTAGCTCCCTGGAATGATGAAAAGAATTGTTTATAGGCTCAATTCTGTCTCTGAACCCATTCATTCCCCTAATGACCCTTTGCCAGCCCTCCAAGCGGAACTCAGTTTCTCCACCTCTCTCTCATCAGGAAGCAGGGTCTGTGAGCATCAGGATGGCACCAGGTAGAGAGTCAGTACTCCTGCAAGTCTTCCCCCAACCACATTAGGAAATCTGTCTGTCTTTGTTCTTATTAACCTGACTACTGTCAGTTCATTCTAGAGAAGTCCTTCAGGGTGAACTATCTATAACTGCACCAAAGATAAGGATGCATTTCACAAACAAAAACATTGAACAAGAGATGATCACATATGAAAGGTTATAGGCTACAGGATTCCATTGATCCTGTACAGAGCCAGGTACAGCCAGCCTCAGCCATTAGCAGTCAGCACGGGGAAAAGGGCAGTGGTTGGAAGGGAGCTTCTGAGGGTTGTGGGCTGCTCTGTTCTTTGTTGGGTGCTGGCTATTCAGGCTTGTTTAGCTACAAGAATTCTCTGTGCTTAGCTGGGCACCAGTGGCTCACACCTGTAATCCTAGCTACTCAGGAGGCTGAGATCTGAGGATCACAGTTCAAAGCCAGCCCAGGCAGGAAAGTCTGTGAGCCTCTTATCTCCAATTAACCACCAGAAAACCAGAAGTGGCGCTGTGGCTCAAGTGGTAGAGTGCTTGCCTTGAACTGAAGAGCTGAGGGACAGCACCCAGGCCCAGAGTTCAAGCCCCAAGACTGACAAAAAAGATGGAGGAAGTGGGATGAACTGTCAAGACACCCTATGGCGGCATCTTCTAAACTTACCTGTCTATTTTTTTTTTTTGTTAGTTGTGGGGCTTGAACTCAGGGCCTGGGTGCTGTCTCTGAGCTCTTTTGTTCAAGGCTAGCATTCTACCACCTTGAGCCACAGCGCCACTTCTGGTTTTCTGGTGGGTAATTGGAGATAGGAGTCTCAGACTGGCCTGCACAGGCTGGCTTTGAACCTCAATCCTCAGATCTCAGCCTATGGAGTAGCTAGGATTACAGGCGTGAGCCAGCAGTGCCAGGCTAGCATCCTCTACACTTCATGATGTGACTATTACATGCAAACTCACTGTATTTTTGCAATGTGACCCTTGTGAGCCCTCCTTCTCCCTCCAAAAAAGGTCCGATAAAGTCTGCCACATGCGCACATGTGTCGTTTCAGTGTGGTATTTTTCTTGGGAATTCATGAAGAAGCTAAGCTCTATGTCTGGGTCCCTGGAGGAACAAATAAGGACAGTGGGAAACTGGCCTTCTGCTGATTATCGGCAGACAGTGGGGATGCTGCGAGGCGCCAGTCCTCCCGGGAATTCTCCCAGCTCTTGGGGATGGCTTTGGATTTGCACAGAATACAGACTGAGAACTTGGGGCAACGCTTATTTAGATCTGAAGGGGGTAAGAGATCATGGCTGACATCGGGTCGTGTGCTAGTACCGTTAAGTGGCCATTAAAATGTCTCACCTCCCTATTTCATTATAACTCCCCCTCAGGCAGAAACTGTATGTTTGTCTCTGTGTTTTCCAAGAACCTGGGATCCAGATCTTTATAACATCCTGAGACCCTGAAGGCTGAGACTTAAACCTATGAACTTTTAGGGAAACAGCTGTGAAACCAGGTGCTGTTGGCTCATGTCTATAATCCTAGTTACTCAGAATGCTGAGATCTAAGGATCACAGTTCAAAGCCAGCCCAATTAACTAGCAAAAAGCCAGAAGTGGGGATGTGGCTAAAGTGGTAGAGCACCAGCCTTGAGAGGAAAAAGCTGAACAAGGGAATGAGGCCCAGAGTTTAAGTCCCAGTATTGCCCCTGCCCCTTATAAAAACAACCATATCGACCTGGAGCCCGGTGATCAACTTCTCCCACCACAGTTTCTGTATTTCTAGTGTTAGAGCTTATCATAGGAAGAATGACAGGACAATGTGACTGGAACATTGTGTGTGTGTGTGTGTGTGTGTGTGTGTGCACGTGCACGTGCACGTGCATGCATGTGTGTGAAGACACTGTAGCTTAGTTTTTTTTGTTCAAGGCTGGCATTCTCCCACTTGAGCCATAGCTCTGCTTCCAGCTTTTTTTCTTGGTTAATTGGACAAAAGAATCTGGCTTTGAACCTCGATACTCAGCTCTCAGCCTTCTGAGTAGCTAGGATTACAGGTGTGAGCCAACAGTACTGGCCTTCTAGAACACATTAGGCTCTGGCATACAGTAGGAGCTCAACCAATACTGATTGCTTCCTCAATGGTTATCACTACAGAAGGCCAAGACTCTGGCTCCCTGGCTAGAAACCTTTTCCCCTGTCCCCTCCTCTCTCAAGTCTATTAATCCGATAAAGCAAATAAGCTTAAATATAAACGTTGAACCTCTTCTCTAAGCAAAAGTCTGTGTGCGAGCATTGTATTTGTCCTCCTGAAACTACGACACACTGGGGACCTGCAAAGCTGGGCCTCACTATGAAGATAAAGGATGCGACAGTTGTGTTAAGGGTGACCGCATTTCAAGCACTACTCAGGCCTTTGGGCAGAGCTCAGGATGAGTTCTTGCAACCTCCCCTCTCCTCCCTCTTCCCTCCTGTCGCCTTCGATTCATAGGCTGTGTAATTCAAGTCATTAATTTTTTCCATTCGGTGCTCTGCCAATTTCTTCTCGTTTTGTTCCTGGAAATCTCTCTTGTGTGTGTCTTCTAAATTTAAAATAAATATGTTGCACATAATTGGATATGAACCAGACGACACAGAGCAATCATACTTTTCTCATTGATTCTACACATGTATTCGTCTCCGACACGAAGGAGGAAAGGTCTTGGCGTGTTCGGGATAAAATGTTAAATGGCACAAGTTGACCTCATGTTCTTCAAGATCAGCACTGGCCTTTAGAATAGTTCTATGATCCTACTGGAAATGAACAATGAAAGGTTCTTACACTAAAAATAGACATGCCCAAATCATTCTGGTTGTTAGCACTTTGTACTCACAAGATTGAGGGAAAAGATACTAACTATACACCAAAGACTCAGGAGCCCTGGCTGGACATGCCACTTGGAAGAGGGTACATAGTAGAATAAGTGTTTATGTTGTTGACTTCAGTGTTCTTGGCCATGCAGTAAAGATATTGGGCTTTATGGTATTCTTACAATAAAAAAAAAATAAAAGCCGGGCGCTGGTGGCTCACGCCTGTAATCCTAGCTACTCAGGAGGCTGAGATCTGAGAATCGAGGTTCAAAGCCA